AACTGCAGAGTGCTTTCCAGGGTGTGGATAATGCATCATGATCAATAAGCAAACACTGTCCTTAACTTAAAGCCAAATTTAAGAATGCATTATTAAAGAGGCATAAAATATGCAAACGTGCAAGTCTGATGACATTTGCATTGTGATAGGAAATGTAACTTCTTGATTCCACAATTTTTGGCAGTACAATGCTTGAAATACTACATGCAGAGGATCCTTGTCATAAGAAAGAAGAGTAATAATTTAACTATTTGACAAAAGTATCACAAAGCTAAGATTCAGTATCTAATCTGGCTTCTTATCTTCATAAAGCCCATTTAGAAAAGAAGTAAACAGTGAGTAAGTTCATCACCTAACTTGACAATTTACACAGATTTCTAAAACTAAATTTGACTTAGTTAATCTTGCTCATTAGACTTTCTTGATCAGTCTCCATTATTACTGTTTTAAAACTCAAAAAGGAACACTTATATTTGGTATCCATGTTTAAAAAGCCTAGAAAATGTTACACTTAAAAATTATGTACATTGCATAATTTACGTCACTTTGAATATTAGAAAGTTGGATTAGAATATATGTATGAAAATAAGTTTAATTTTAATATTAAAATATCTTAAATTTTCCTTTGATTTATAAATTTTACTAGTTTGAAACATGTTATCTTAGTTTAATAATGTTAATAAACAATAATTTACAATAAGAGAAATTAATTCATTTTCTAAAAATCAAATTACTAAAGCACCGATCAGAAACATAGAAATATCTTAGCTTTCCAAAATAGAAATGTAAGAAAGGCAAAAAAAAGTAATTTTTTAAATGTGGACAATAGAGAGTTGGTTCATTTATTTGCAGGGTGTCAGTCCTCATTTCCTGAATATTTAGCTTTTGATTTACGGTTTCTCTCTCTAGCCCTGCTTACTATTATAATTTCAATTTCCTAGGAGGTGTTCTTTCCAGTAACCTTTAAATAAGCTCCTCTCCTCCAATGTATTTTTTCTCCATCTTGACTTTCTCACTAATTCTCATGGAATTTCCACAGATCTTTTCATTTTTACCTGAAATTCTATGATCTCAATTTTGAATCCCACTCTGTATACCATCCCTTTGAATCTCACTACCTTTTAACCCTAGTCTTATGCCTGTTGAACCCTACAGGGATTTTAGTCCAACTTCTCCCACCTACCCGTGTGGTACACACTCACTCAGAACCTTATCTCCCTACTTATTATCTAACTGAAAGTCCAGGCCATGTCATTATAATCATTCTTCTGCAGGTATACTCAATTCCTTTGCCCTCTTTCACAATTTCCCTAGAAATCATAGAACTGCTTCAGTCTGACTTTTTGCTCTCTTTGAGATGTTAATGCAGATGAGTGTGACTGGAGAGAAACATGCAGTCATATTGACTATCGTCCCTCTAAATTTAAAGGGCTTCACATGAGCCCTCTCGGTGCGAATCATACTGTGTTTCCTTTGTTCATTCACTATCCCATTCCCCCTATAAATCTCAAGTCTTTTATTTATAAGCCAAAGTCAAAAGGCTGTGGAAACCAAGAGATTTTTATATCTCATCTGATTATGAGACTTGACCTGACCTGACCAATTCATTTGGCATTAAAACTTTACCTGAAATTGAGTATAGCTATGTATACTCTTTATTCTAATTAGTATGAATATTCATATACTTCCCTATGGATATATTATTGTTTGGATTTCAGAGTATTACTTAAGACTTCACTGGGGTTTTTCCTAACACATAAAGTATATATCACAGTATTACTCTGTCTATAATCCAAAAAAGTTCATATTTTATTTTATTTTTTTAACATTTTTTACTTATTTCTGAGAGAGAGACAGCGTGAACAGGGAAAGGTCAGAGAGAGAGAGAGAGATACAGAATCTGAAGCAGGATCCAGGCTCTGAGCTAGCTGTCAGCACAGAGCCCAACGCGGGACTCGAACCCACAAAGTGTGAGATCATGACCTGAGCCGAAGTTGGACGTTCAACTGACTGAGTCACCCAGGCGCCCCCAAAAAGTTCCCATTTTATAACATATCTGACTACAAAGGTCTTGGATAAGAATTATGGCCCTTTTATTTTTTACACAATACATTCCATCTCTATGAAGGAAATCATGATCCTATATAAGAGCTGTATTCCCTCTTATATACAGTATAAGGGCAAATACAAATTAAAAATAAGAGGCTTAATTCTCCCTCTTAAAAATAAGTGAAGAACTCCACCTCCCACTTTTTCTCAGAACCCTTACTTTAGAGTACTCATAACCTTTTTCTCTGTCTTTTAAAAATTTATGTAAATCTTTTTAAAAGCTAAATAAGCCACTTGCCAGCTGTGTGACCCAATAATGTCTTTCTCAAGGACCTGGGAGCCATGTTTTTGAAATGTAATCATCAAAACAGCATTCCGACTCCCAGTTTCTGTTGGAGGATAGAAGCCTTACGTCAGTGGGAACCTCATGCTAAGTTGCCAAAGTTCCTCTTTTCACAAAAACGTGAAAGTTATTTTTCCTTTGGAAAAAGCTAGCTAGCAAACACAGATGGCCACCCCAACTACCAGGCAAATCTAGTAAGAATGATGTGTGACCAATGGTACTGTCAAGTCCTCTTATTTAAGGACTAGTTATTGTTTATTGTGAGAACATACATGCCATAGGGTTGTATTTGGTTGGCAATATAAACAGGTAAGATTACTTTCTGGCTTAGAGTAGCCACTCTCTAACAAAGCTGTTTTCTTTCCTTCTACTTTTGTGGAAAGATTTTCTTGGTTGAAAATTTTGTTTTTAATGGTCTTCCCCATTAGCACCTCCATCTAACTTGCTTATTCAAAGACATTGCCCCAGAAATTCTTCCCTTTCTTTCATGCCTTTTAAAACCTTTTTCCTTAATTGATCTTTCTCATTAGCTGTGATTTCTTCCTTCCTGACCTAATACCACTTTCAAAAAGAATCCTTTCTTTCTACTATCTTTTGAATAAGTTATCATCTTTCAAAAGCAGACAAGCTCTTCCTGGCATGTCATTTCTGATAGACACTCTAATTAGGTTTTGACTTCATTACTAAACAAAATTTTTTGTTAGTGTCAGTAATAACCTCCAATGACAAAACTTTGGTCTTCACGTTTCTTCACTATTAGCAATCTTCGATAGAATCGATCACTCCCTCTAGCTTGAAACACTGTCTTCTTACTTCTAGGGCACCACCTCACTTATTTCCACTACGGCTCACTATCTGGTGCTTTTCATTCTTCTTTATAAATTCCTCCTTATCTCCCAAACTCTAAACCAGGGAGTGCCCTGGGATCAGCTTTGACCTTCTTATCAACTTGGTCTCCTTCAAGTTGGTTGCATTCAAACTCATAGCTTTCTATAGGACATCATACTGATAGATCTCAAATATATTTCTCCTATTTAGATTGCTCTCAAATAATCCCGACCATTTCCATATGCTTACTTGACATCTCTTAAATGAGTGAATCTTGTGAGAGATTTACCTAAATCTAAATATCTAAAACCTAAATTGTATATCTAGTATTTATTTCTAAAATCTATGAATCTAAATTTCTAAAATCTAAAATCTAACTACTTTCACCACTTCTGTTTAGTTATCATCCTGTACTGGGCTATCATTGTTTCTGAAAAGGACTGTAGTTTCCACTAATGCCCTTCTACAGTCTATCAGAACACGTAAATCCTTTAACCTACATGCTATCTCCCCATTTCTTTCAGAGCAAAACAAGTAATTCTTACAAATACCTACAGGACCTTATTTGTTTTGTGTTCTACTAACATTCTGAAATTATCATCAATGATATTCCCTCCACACTGACCTTCTTGATCTTTTAACATACCAGACATTTCACACCACTGACTTCCGTGGTTTTTCCTCAGATTTAGAATACTTTCCTTTGCATTAATGCTTGTCTCATTCTTTAACCTCTGATAGGGCTTTATACAAATGGCATATATCAGGAAAGACTGTCCAGAATGCTCCATACAAAATTAGACATGTTTTATCTGGTGTGTCATTTCTGGTCCCCTTCTGTCCTTCTTCCCTTCCTTTCTTCCTTCCTTTCTTCCTTCCTTCCTTCCTTCCTTCCTTCCTTCCTTCCTTCCTTCCTTCCTTCCTTCCTTCCTCTGTCTCTCTCATCTCTCTCTCTCATTCTGTGAATATCTACATGTCCATATACATAGAAATATCTGTATTTATAGAAATGCCCATGTATATATTATATATTATTTATGTATATATAAAGTATACATATGTAACGTAGTTTCAGAATCATTGACTGATACCATACTTACATGAAGCCAAGTAACTGAAATTCAGTATTTTAATAGTGATTTTAGTTTAAATATACAGTGAAATATACAAATGTTATTTGTATACTTTGATGAGTTTTGATAAATGCATACACTTGTAACCATGTTTTATTTAGATACAGAATATAACCATGATCTCAGAAAATTCCCTTGTTCTCTTCCTAGTCAACACTCCTATATCTAAGGCAATCACTTTATTATTTCTTACCATATTAGTTACCATACATTAGATATAAAAAATTACACATTTCTTGTCAATATATATTTTCATTTCTCTTGGATATATACCTAGGGGTATTTATCCTATGTCATATCGGTATTTATACTTATGTCATAGAACAGTTGTGTGTTTCTCGTTATAATACATTGTCAGAGCACTTTCCATTGCACTGTATCATTTTACACATCTGCCATGTAAGAGTTAGAATTAGTCTTCTTACTTGCCACTATTGGGTTTTCCATACTTTTAAAGTTCAACCAAACTTCTAATTCTAGATGGGAATTTTATCATGGTTTTAACCTGAATTTCTTTAATGACAAATGCTCATTTTCTTACTTGGTTTTCTCCCTCTCTCTTCCTCTCTCTCTCTCTTTTTATATTTTACTCCCATTTTATATCTCACTTTGTGAAGTGTCTGTTCAAGAGTTTTGCTCATTTTTTTTCCAATATGGAATGCTTCACAAATTTGCATATCAGACTTCCACAGGGACCATACTAATCTTTTCTATACTGTTCCAATTTTAATATATGTGCTGCCAAAGTGGGCACTTGACCTTTTTCTTTTTCTTTTTTTTTTTTTTAATTTCTAGGAGACAGAGAGAGAGACAGCGTGAGCAAGGGAGGGTCAGAGAGAGAGGGAGTCACAGATTGAAATAGGCTCCAGGCTCTGAGCTGGCAGTCAGCACAGAGCCTGACGCGGGGCCCAAACCCACGAACCGTGAGATCATGACCTAAGTGAAAGTCGGACACTTAACCGACTAAGCCACCCAGGCGCCCCTTGACCTTTTTAATTTATGGTCTTACTTATCATCTTATTGTTACATGGGATTTTTATGTATTTTATTTTCTTTTTTGTAAAAGTAAATTTTATAAATGATTTCTTTTGGTTGTAGTTTACCTACTAATTTTTTAAGTGCTATGTGGTAAGTTCCATTTTTTAAATTTAACAATGTCTGATTTGTTATTTACTCCCTTAAATTTATTTAAGATGTTTTGCCTCTTGTCTAAGAAATATTTGCCTGTCTCCAGGTCATGAAGATATTCTCCTGTGTTTTATGAGATTTATAGTTTTTGCTTTTATGTTTAGTTGTATGATCTGTCACAAATTAGGTTTAGTACATGGTGTGAGGTAGGGATTAATATTCTTTGTTACACAAATGGATATATAATATTCTAAATATTTGTTGAAAAGCCAATTTTACTGAATGGCTTTGGCAACCTTGTCTAAAACAATTAACCAAATATGTGTGGGTATATTTCTGGACTGTTTATTTTGTGCCTTTGACATTTTTTTCTATCACCATGTCAATATGGCTATATTATTACTATTATTACAGTTTTATAATAGTTTTGAAGTGAGATTTATTTTTAAGATTTGGTTAATTTTAGTTCTTTGTACTTCCACATACATTTTAGATTCAACATGTAAATTTTTATAAGAAATTCTGGTGGAACTATGATTGAGATTACTTTCCCTCTATAGTTTAGTTTTGGGAGAATTGATATTTTCACATTATTGACCCTTCAAATCTATAAGCATGGCATATACCTAATTATTTAAATCCTTTTTTTCTCTCAGAAATATTTTATAGTTAAGCATGTGCAGATCTTTAACTTATTTTGCTCAACATAATCCCTAGTGTTTTAGTAATTTAATTATATTAAAATTAATTTTAGTGGCACCTGGGTGGCTCAGTCGGTTAAGCGTCTGACTTCAGCTCAAGGTCATGATCTCGCAGTTGTGGGTTCGAGCCCTGCATTGGGCTTTGTGCTGACAGCTCAGAGCCTGGAGCCTATTTCAGATTCTGTGTCTCCCTCTCTCTCTGACCCTCCCCTGCTCACGCTGTCTCTCTCTCTCTCTCAATCAGAAATAAATAAAACATTTAAAAAAATAAAAAAAATTAATTTTAAAGTCTTTTTATTTTGAAATAATTACAGACTCACAGGAAATATCAGAAAGAATGCAGTGTGACTAAAATGGTTTCTAGTCACAAATGCAACACAGGTGACAGAAAAATATGGTTTCAAGTCATAACTAATAATGCAAGAGGTATAGGCTGTTTCTTGTGATATATGAGAATTCAGGTGAGAGAAAACAAAAGGTTTTCAGTCATTAATTGTAACTTAGGTAATAGAAAAAGAAGGTTTTCATTCATAAATGAAGAGTCAGATGATAGAGAAAAAAAATTTCCATTATAAATTGTAACTCATGGAATTGAGAAAGATTATTTCCAATCATAAACAGTTTCTCAGCTGATTAAGAATGAATGGTTTCTAGTCATAAATGATAACACTTATAATAGGAAAGAATGTTTGCCAGTCATGAATTATAACTAACTCAGGTGGAACAGAAAGAAGGTTCTCAGTCATAAACAACAATCAGATAATAGAGACAGAAAGACTTTCAGTCATAAATGATAACTCAGGTGGTGGAGAATGAAAGGTTTCCAATCATAAATGATAAATCAGGAGATAAAGAAATAAAGGTTTCCAATGATAAATGATAAGTAAGGTGACAAATAAAGAATGTTTCCAGTCACAAATGGTAATACAGATGATAGAGAAAGGTTTTCAGTCATTACTGATAATTCACATGATGGAGACTGAAGCTTTCTAATTACAAGTGATGACTCAGGTGACTCAGAAAGACTGTTTACAGTCATAAATGATGACTCATGTGATAGAGATAGAGGATTTCTAGCCAAAAATGATAATTTGGTAATATAGAATGAAGGTTTCCATTAACAAATGATAATTCAGATAATAAACAAAGAAGGTTTTAAGGCCATGATAACACTAGTAATGGAGAAAGAAGGTTTTCAGTCATAAGTGGTAAGTCAAGTACCAGAGAAAGAATGGTTTCTAGCCATTAATGGTAACTCAGGATATAGGGAAAGATTTCCATTCATGTTACAAAGAAAGAAGTTTTACAGTTATTTTTAATGTTTATTTTTATTTATTTATTTTGGGGGAGGGGTGAAGGGCAGCGAGAGAGGGTGAGGGAGATCTGAAGCAGCTCCATGCTCAGTGTGGAGCTCCACACGGGGCTCATTCCCACAACCCTGGCATCATGATCTGAGCCGAAATCAAGAGTAGGACACTCAAATGATAGAGCCACTCATGTCCTGAGGATTCTTCTGGTTATTTTTGATAAATAGATAAAACGACTGCTAGTCAAAAATAATAACTCACATAATGGGGGGGGGGAAGGTTTGCAATCATAAATGGTGAATCATCTGTTACAGAAGATTTCCAGTCATAAATAACAACTCACATGGTAGAAAAAATGGTTTACATGTATAAGTGACAAGTCAGATTCTAGAGAAAGGTTTCAAGTAATGAAACCTCTCTAGTACTCAGATGCTAGGAAAAGAAGATTTCTAGTCATAAACATTAAGTTAGGTAATAGGGAAAGACTGTTTACAGTCTTATATCATAACTCAGGTGATAAAAAATAAAGAGTTCTAGTGATGTGTGATAACTCTAGTGATAGAGAAAAGTTTCCAGTATTAATGATAACACGGATGATTAAAAAATGAAATAAAATAATTATAAATTGCCATATATATGGAAATAAGTAATATATAGTAAATAAACTTAGTGATCCTGAAGAAATAAATGCAAAAAAAGTTGGTTAATCTCATGCATGTTTCATAGATTCTAAGCCTTTCCATGTGAAGATCAGTTGAAAGTAAAATTGCAGTTAAATGTACTTTTAATACACTACTTATTATAGATCATGGACCAATTAAAACAAATAATACTACATTATGATGTAATGTAGGGAATATATAGGGTAAGATTAGTCAATATTGAGACTTACTGAAAATGGACCAAGATGATTTAAAAATACTACTCTCTTTAAGGGTAGCTTCAAGCCAGCTGGGCAGGAATTTTCAGATTAACATGGCAGCTGTTGTTTGGACTTGTGACCCATTACAACCAAACAGTGAAGAAAAATTTTCCTTAGTATCATACTCTAGAGCAGTTCATTCCAAAAGAACTTTCTGCAATAGACATTTTCTGTATCTGGGCTGTCTAATATCTTAGACACTAGACACATGTGACTATCGAGTACTTGATTAAGCTGGCTGATGTGACTGAAGGACTGAATTTTTAATTTAGTTTAATTTTAACTAATTTGAATTTAAATAGCTACATATAGCTAACAACTAGAGTATTGGACAACACAGGTCTGGAAGAATCCATAGTTACCTCCTTTTAGTCAGCCCATTTCAATCATCCATTCTGGGATTGATCATGGATCTAATTTTCTGCTCCAAAATTCCTTAGGAATCTACATCGTTAACTCAAAGAAATTACTGTGTAAGGTTCATTTTTATTTCCCCCTCCCAGGAATTTATATATATAAATTTATATATATATATGCATATATACATATATACATATATAAATAACATCTAACTATAACATAAAAAAGTTATGTAATATATATGTATATATATAATCTAATATGTGTATATATATGTATATATGTATACATACATATGAGTATATATATGTGTGTGTATATATATGTGTATATATATATATAATCTAATATGTATATTAGACTGGCTTTTAACAATGACTCTGGCATCTAAGCCAATAAATTGGTTTACATCCTTTAGTGATATATTAGGGTAGTCTTAAAAAAAAAAACCTCCTGATCCAATTTGGCTGTAGGAAGACAATCAACCCATGGGAATTTTGAAATAACTTAAGCAAGCAAAACTTACATTCTGCTATTATCTGCATTTTAAAATGTGCTCATTACTTAGCTTCTGGGCAGATATAAGAGGCTAATTACAATACTTAAAGGGATGTATAGTTAAGTTTCAACTTTCCAGTCTACGTGCATCATCAGGCAGAAACCTGATTAAACAGATGGGCCTCACCCCATGACCCTGAAAATCAGTACTGAGATTTTGGAGAAACAAGAAAAGAAAATGCCAAACGGTGTTCATTCTTCATGTAAAACACCCTAAGGCACCTAAACATGCTAATGCTGAATCAGCATTACACTTTGAACCTAGCAAAGGCAAAAAATGAACAACACCACAAAGACACTTTATTATGGTTCTTCAAATCATGAGATATGAGAATTATTAATATTTACTTTAATACACTAATTAATCACATTGAAGAATTTATGGACCTGCATTTCCCTAAAAGGTTATTTCATTATTGAGCTATGTTACAAACTAAGATGAGGCATAGATAAGAACCACACTGAAAGTAACAATTTAAAAGCCCAAAGACACCTTATCATAGGAAGCAAATGGCAAAAATACCAAACATGAGGTCCTGAGTCTCAGTTTATACATGGCTTAAAATTTACATTAATAGTAGCATAGTTACATACGGATAAACATTTCACAAATAGGAGTATACTTTGTGATTATTATCTGTTTCCAAAGCCACACTTGAAATTATGTCTTCTCAGAGTTTAAAGAACTCAAAAAAAAATCTTAAGATCTTTATGTAACCTATTCAGAATTAACATGGAGCAAATTCTCAATAATCTTTACTTAAGAAATCTGAGATTA